CCTGGCACAGAGGTACCAATCTGTTGAATGAATGAATGAACTTTCGGTGAGCTGAGAAAAAACACTGAAAATTTAAATTAAATTTTGCTTAGTTTGTTTAAATTCAGCTCTAACTTAAACGAATAAAACAAACAAAATGTGGAGTAAATAAAAACAAGTTGTCAGTCAAGTTATAGGTTATTTCCCCCATTAATTGGTTTAGCATTTTTACTGTTCAGCGTGTTGATAGTTCATTGTAATGCTTACACTGTGTTCTCCACAACTACTACAGCCATACTGGAGAAAGTCTGGAAAATGGAAGAAAAAGGACTCATACTTTTACACTGTTGTTACCACTGTCACCAAGAGAATTAAAAAATTCCCTCTTAGGGAGTTTTCTTCATTCTTATCTGGTCATTATGAGCTGAAAATCAACTTCTAATTTTTAAACTTTTATCTAAACCTCTTTTGGACTCTAAAATTATGCGATTCTATATGGAAACTGATTTAAAAAATTTAAGTCATTGAAGAGCTACTCTTATTACTTCTCATACAGTCTATGAATTGGGGGATTTTCAGAGATATTTGAAGTCCTTTTTTATTTGGATTCAGGCTCTCATTTTGCCTGATCTTAATCCATTGATTATTTGTGATTTAATCTTAATTAATTTAATTAATTAATTTTTTAACCAGGGGTCTTTGCATTTGCAAGGCAGGTGGCAGAACCACTGAGCTAAATCCCAGGTGCAGTTATTTGTGATTTTAACCCACTAAGAGAAACATAAAAGAATTTTCAGAACACTGTTAGAGTGATGAAACTTCATTCATTCTGAGTTCACCCTGCCAAACAGTTACAGACTTTTAGCCAGGCATGTGGTACATGCCTGTAATCCCAGCTTTTGGGCGGCTGAGGCAGGAGAATCACCATTAGCTCAAGGCCAGTCTGAGACACACAGTGAATTCAAGGTCATCCAGAACTACATACAGAGACCCTGCAAAGGCTCCCCCAGATGCAGACGGACAAATGGCTCAGGGCAGGGATCCCTGGCCCAGGAGGCTTTGACAATCAGAGCAGAGTGAGGAATGGTAGCACTCACATCCGTTCCTGGGACGCCTGCCACCAGGGTAGGCACAGAGCTGTATACTCACCACTTGCACGTTGGGCTGTGATCTGTGCCAGGAAAGATGCTTCAGAAGCTCCCTGGGACTTGCCATGCAGTAATGGGTGAGCTGAGAGGCCCCAGAGGAAAGGGACCAGCTCTCCAAACAGCGGACCAGAGAAACACACCAGGACCCAAAACATGCCTGCCTTTCCATATAGGAGCCCTAACTGGGCATACAGAAGGCTTGAAAAACATAGTGAACTGAGCACATCATCAGAACTTCAGGAGTGCTTTGAGATCAGGATGGACTTGAAAGCAAATTATTTAGTAATCTGGCCAAATAATGCCAGCTTGAACCAACAACAAGACCTGACACAGACAAGTCCTACTTGTGGCTGTAACAAGTATGTGATCTCACTTAAAGCCCCAAGAGGGACAGTGTTGATCTCAGGGTGGGAGAAAGAGGAGAGAGAAGAAAGAGAAGACAGAAGAAAAGGAAGAAGGAAAAGTTGAGAAAGACAGGAGAAAGAGGGAGAGAGGTAGAGTGAACAGAGAATATATACAGAAGCACACAAAACAGCAAAGCTATTAGAAAAGAAAAGCAAGAAATACATAATATTATTAGGAAAATATACCTCAGACAGAAGACTAATATCTAGAATATATAAAGACCTAAAAAAATTAGACCCCCCCACAATAAAAGACCCAATAAAAAAAATGGGCAACTGAAATGAATAGACATTTCGAAGAAGAAGAGGAAGTGGAGGAGGAGGAGGAGGAGGCGGCGGCAGCAGCAGCAGCAACAGCACAAATAGCCAATAAGTACATGAAGAAATGCTCATCGCTAGTCATTAGAGAAATGCAAATTAAAACACTGAGATTTCATCTTACTTGGGAAAGAATGGCCATCATCAAGAAATAAGGCTGCTGGGGGAAAGGAATCCTTTCTAGGTTGTTGGTGGGACTGTAAAACAGTACAACCATTATGGAAATTGGTATGGAGATTCCTCAAGAAACTAATACTAAAAATTGCATTCAACCCAGCTTTTCCCACTTTAAGTATCTTTGAGAAAGAGTTAAACACAACATATTACAGAGACACACACATCCCCATGTTTACAGCAGCACAACTCATGATAGCTAAGTCTTGGAAGTGGCTCCTACGTCCATTAACAGATGAATGGATAACGAAAATGTGGTATTAATTCAGAGTGGAGTACTCCTCCACCATGAAGGATAAGTTTGAGTCATTTGTAGGAAAATGGATGCACCTTGAGAACATAACATTAAGCTAAATAAATCAGACACACAAACTTAAACATTGCATGGTTTCTCTTTTGAGAAACTCAAAATATAAATAAATCAAAGAGCAAAATAAAAGACAGGGAATAGGAAACATGTAGATCCTTTGCATATGGGAAGAGGACCAAGGGGTGGCAGGAAAAGAGGCAGGAAAGGGGAAATAAAAATAATGGGATGTGTCATGTTAAGTGTACCAAAAAATTAACTGTAAATTAAAATCTTGCTTTGATATGTAACTCTATTATATGTTATGCTTTAAAAAATGGGAAGAAATTCACTGGTGGTAAAGCTATGGCATGCAGGCCGCATGGCTGTTTGTTATCATTGAAAACTCTAAAAGGTTCCCCATCACTGAAACAACCCAATAAGCAAAACACAATGGTTATCAACTAACATCTGTGGACACGTTCACAGAGCGTTTCAATCGTTGTGAATATTATCACTTCAGTACTGCATGTATTCTTTATATATTCTAGATGTTAGTCCTTTGTGTGAGGAACAGTTGGTAACAAAATTTTCCCACTCGGTGGGCTGTCTCTTCACTCTGTTGGTGGTTTCTTGTGCTGTGCAAAAGCTTTTTAATTTGATATGATCCCAGGTGTTGATGCTTTGTAGTACTTCCTGTGTGATTGGGGCTTTGTTCGTAAGTCTGCCTACTTCTGTGTCTTGTACAGTCCCACCTATTCTTCTTCCAGCAGATTGGAAACCTGCTTTTATATTTAGATCTTTGCTCCATTTCCATTTTAGGTTACCACATCGTGAAAGAGATGGGTGTGGGTTCAATTTTTGGCATGTAGAAAACCAGTTTTCCCAGCACCTTTTATTAAAGAGGCTGTCTTTCTTCCAGTGAAGATATTTGTCCCCTTTATCAAACATAAAGTAGCTGAGTGTGCTTGGAGTTGTTTCTGCATCTTCAACTCTGTTCCACTGATCTGTGGGTCTGATTTTTTTTTTTTTTTTTTTTGCCAGTACCATGCTGTTTTTATCCCAGTAGCTTTGCAGTTTAAATTCAAATAGGGGATTGTGATGTCTCCTGCCTTGCCCTTGTTGCCCAGAACTGCTTTTGCTATTCTAGGCCTCTTCTGGTTCTCAATAAATTTTAGGATTGCTTTCTCTAGTTTTGTGAGGCATGCTATTCATATTTTGATTGGGATTACATTAAATCTGTATGGTAGTTTTGAAAGTATGGTGATTTACAATATATTGGAGCTGCCTATCCAAGAAAAAAAGGATAGCTTTCCATTTTCTGATATCCTCTTTGATTTCTTTTTTTCGAAGTACTGTAGTTTTCAACGTATGGGTCTTTCATTTTCTTTGTTACACTACTACATATTTCATTTTTCTTGATGCTGTTACAAAAGGTCTGGTTTCCCTAATTTCTCTCTCAGTGAGTTTATTTGTTTACAGTGATGCTTTTGATTTTTGAGTGTTGACATTGTGTCTTGCTATGCTGCCAAATTTGGTCACTAATTCTAGGAGTCTTTTGGTGGAGTTTTTGGGGTCTTCTACATAGCGTATCACATCACCAGCATGGAGATTACTCAAAAACCTAAAACTAGAGATTCCACTTGGCCCTTCTAGGTATCTTCCCAAAAAAGTTAGAAGCATCATACCACAACAATATATGCGCGCCCATGCTTACAGCAGCACAATTTATAATAGCTAAATCTTGGAAAGAGCCCATATGCCGATCAAAAGACAAATGGATAAAGAAAATGTGCTGTTATATACAATGGAGTACTACTCTGCCATAAAGAAGGATACACTTGAGGCATTAGTAGGTAAATGAATGCACCTAGAGAGCATAATCTTAAGCAAAATAAATTGGACACTCAGGTTTAAATATTGAATTGTTTCTCTTATGTGAGAAACCCAAAGGGTAAATAAGGAGCATAAGGAGGACCGATATTGGGAAGCGGGAAAAACATGTTCAAATGGGAAAGGGAATAAGAGAGAGGGGAGGGGAGAGGAAAGGAAGGGGAAAAAAAGGAGAATGGAAGGAAAAAATGGAAATAAAGCCTTCGTGAATGAGGAGAGGAAGAAGGGTTGAAGAGAGGGGAGAGGAATGGGGAAAAGAAGAATTAAGATGTATTATATACAGATTCAAATTCCCCACGATGAGTGTGATCAATGTGTATGACAAATACATACTGATGAAAAATAAAGTTAAACAAAAAGGTTTTACTGAAAAAAAAAAGATAATGCACATGTACAGTTTTACTTTTCTGTACTTCAATTGTTTTCCATCGTGGGGTGACAGGCTGTGGGGTGACGGCGAGGGCCCAAAGACAAAGAACATCCGTTAAGACAACCCTAGGTGCTCCTGATCACTAACTCACATTTTGGATGCTGTGCTCGCGAGCCAGTCACCTCAGCGCGCCTGCGCAGAGCCGGTCACTCCTGCAGCCCCTTCGCTTTTCTTAGCAGCCTTGCTTGGATCCAAAGCTGAGAAGCAGGGGCTCGGTTTCTCTCCTCTCCCATAATGCTGCTGCCTCAGCCCCCTCCCCCACACTCTCCTCTCCCTGCAGAGCTGTCTGCAGTCCTAGGGGTTAAATCCTGAGCAAGCGACTAACGCCCAGAGTCCACTGCGTCTCCGCCCCGGACCCAGCCTCTTACCTTTGTCGTAGATTTCCTTCAGGACCCCTCGCTTGATCAACTCCTCTCGGCTCTGCCTCATGGAGATCTTCCTTTCCAGGGCTGGAAGCGAGACAGACAGGCAGTTGTGAACCGGTGACAACGCTTGGCTTTTTTCATATGTTAGCATTGATATGCAGTGAAATGGACCGAATAACTTCTGTACCTTATGCTTTGCTAATATAATCAATGCTTTTAGATGCTTTGAGCCTTTTGAAAGGAGAAATATTAATTTATTTTTTGTGGTACCGGCATCCAACCCAGGGATGTTCTATAAATAATAAGGACATTTTCTACTTTTTTATCAGAGCAAGTTTGCAGTACACAATATTTACATTCCTTATGAGGGGTTGGCACAGGTACATGATATGTTTTCGTGTCTTTTTTCATACCTTTCCCTCTGCTCTTTCCCCTCTCCCTCCATCTCTTGATCCCCTTCTCATTTAACACAGCTACTATATCAGGTGTGGAGATTCCTCAAAAAACTAAAACTAGAAATTCCATTTCCCCCAGCAATGCCCCTTCTAGAAACCTTCCTGAAAGAGTTAAAGTCATCATATGACAGTGATGCGTGCACACCCATGTTTATAGCAGTCCAACTCCTAACACTGAAAAGTTGAAAGCGGCCTATGTGCCCATCAACAGATGAATTGATGACGAAAACCTGGTATTTACACACCATGGAGTACTACTCTGCCATAGAGAAAGATAAACGAGTCATTTGAAGGAAAATGGATGCATCCTGAGACTGCAAGATTGAGTGAAATAAGACACATAAGCCTAAATATCACATGGTTTCTCTTATATGAGAAACCCAAATTATAAATAAAGAGAAGAAAAAGCCCCAGCCTTTTAAATTTTTTGATTTGCCAACCGTATTGCTAAGTTGCCCAGGCTGGGGTAGAACTTGTGATTCTACTGTTTCAGCCTCCTGAGTAGCTGGGATTACAGGCTTATATCACCCTGCCTTTTACTCGTATTATTCCGATAGGCCTTTTTGAAAAGGTTGTTTGCCAAATCTTCAAAGCAACCTTCATGTCACCTAAAAGACAGTCATTTTGATGAATGTGATTTCACTTTGAATTCTGACTGATGAAGCCACGGTGGGGAGGCCTAGCTTGCTGTCATCACACTGATGCTGAGAAAAACATCCGAACATCAAGCCGGACCCAGGACCTCGCCGTCCTCGCCCCATTCTGCCTCCCAGGGCACTGGCATTAAGGCCGGAGAGCACAAGGCTGCTTTACAAGTGCTGCCGCAGAGCTGTACCCTGACAATGAGTTAATTTTATGCTATGTAAATGGAACCTCAATTAGGCTGTTAAAAAAAGGAGAGGTAAAAACAATAACTATGAAGAAAAATAGCCAGTATGACAAAAACACTGATTTAAAAATTTAAATAGTAAATCTCAGCAGACCATTACGAAATTAATAAACCTTGAGTCACTGAAAGCGACGTGGTCAACATCAAAAACGAAAGGATTGGAAACATCCCATGTAAAGGTAGATTTCTGAAAAAGCGGGTTTAGTTTTTAAACCTCTAATAAGTTATCAGCAGATCCTAAATAGAAAAAGCAGGAACTCGAGTTCCCCAACATGAACATGCAGCTCATGTAGCAGCCCGTGCAATGCCCTGATCTTTGGAAGGAAACCAAACTTCCAGTCTGCGGTAAATACACCATCACGGGAGTCAGGATGGCACTGGGGCAAACGGAGCATCAAAACAGAGCACAGAGAGCAGCAAACATATAGCCTGAGATCCTAAAACCAACACAGGACACAGCCTGACCAGGCAAAGGGAAAAATGAACGCTGATTTGCTCTTCCAGACCAATGACTCAGTGGGGTAGTTGCCCACACATCAGAAGCTTCTCATGTCCCTCTTGCCTGAAATATGAGTGGGAGGATGATTTCACAATCACTGCACCGAAAGTGGCCCTGGATGACTCAAAACAACCACATTCAAAGATGGAGATATTCAAGGAAGAGTCTCTGCTCACCACTGACCTTAAAGCAAGAACCAGGCAGGAAACCTCAAAAGGCATAGCTATCTTTGCATCCCTACCTATGTGCCTTAGCAGAGAATTTTTATTCTATAAGTGTGACGTTGGACATCATGGGGCCTTGCCTGAATCTGGATGGGGTGCTTCTGGGGCTAGACAGCTCCCGGAGCCAGGAATGACTCTGCTGGAGCGTGCATTTCCTATGTAGACCAGCAATGCAGAGCCAACAGTCCCAGCCACCTCTGTCCAGTTCTTCTACTCCAGGTCACTATGCGTTTGCTCCAACACCCCAGAGCCAGGCACCAGACAACTAGAGGCAGCCCCCAGGCCTCACAGCCCACCGGTATTAACACTACCAGTCCTGATCTGCTTACTTCATCCTGCCTGCTGCTTCCCATGGAATGCAAAATAAAGGCTCTTGCCCATAGTTCTTCCTGCTCTCTTTCCCTTGTGGCCCACCTTGGTACTTCCCTGGGTGGGCCTGGTGGTGGAGGAGGCAGGCCTCCTCCTCTGGCGATCTGAGAATATACAGAATGTCTGTTCATGGCATGTCTCAGTCTGCCAGCCTCACTGTAGCTGGACAGTAAGAATGGCTACTGTGACAGCTGAGCTGGATGGTCAGCTTGATTGTCTGGAGAGCCACCTGGGGGATTAGTAAAGCACACTTCTGGGTCTGCCTGGGTGGGTGCTGGAGGTGTGACCTTGGGGACTACATCTGGTCCTAGCCCCTTCCTGTTCCCCGGCTCTGCTTTGTGCTTGCCATGGGTTGAGCAGCTGTGCTCCTCCAGGCCTTCTCACCATGCCATTTCTGCCTGGAGTCAGCCAACCATGGACTGAATCCTCTGAAACTGTGAGCCAAAAATAAATCTCTTCTCCTTTAAATTGTGTGTGTAAAGTATTTTTTCCCAGTGAAGGGAAAGCTGAGATATACATCCACATTTTAAAACACACCTATTCTTGTACTGGTTTATAAGGAAGGAAGAAATAGGGGGCGTTCCACAGCCCAATGTTTCCCTTTCTTGTTCTGAAATCTGTTTATATGTGAACAAGTGTTTTCCAAACAGGGGCACAGTGAAAACAGCCCAAAGGTTACCTCTAATGAGAGCATTAAAGTTCTAATGTCATCACTTTTGTAAAGTCCTCTTCTGAGCCACTGCTGTAGTCTATGTCATACACACAAAAGTCCAGTTTCCCATTATCTCTCCTTAATTTAACTTTTCACTCTTCCTATTTACACAGCTTTGTGATCGGCCAAGGATTCCTGTGCTTCTGTCACAGCAACAAATTTAAAACAAACATTTGGATTGGGGGTGCAGCTCAATGGTACAGTGCTTGCTTAGCATGCATGAAGCCCTACTTTTGAACTCCAGCACCATACATAATATAAGTAAAAATAAACAAATGAAATGGAAGAAGCATCATCAATAGGCTTATTCTCTTTAGTGAATGCCTGGGTTGGGTGAATTTTGAAACAGCTGAGACTCTTTAAATTATTTTCATATACATGTCATTTTATTATATGCTCCTAGTACTGATGGGAAGAAAAAAAAAAGCTTATGTTTTATAACTTTTAAGCACTGCTTTTTTATTTTTTAAAAATGGTAAGAAATTGGGGGAAAAAGTAATACCAAGGCTGGAGCAAGTCATTTGGTCCTTCTAAGAGCAATGGAGCACAGACTTGTTTAGATTTTTCTCTATGATAATCTATCTCTGTTGAGTTCCCTGCTCAATTGCCTTTAAATTACATTTTGAAGGGAATAGAAGTTTGAAGGGGAAAAGCAACTGAGAAATAAACTGAGCAGCAGTTTACTGCAGAACCCTATACTTTCAACTTAAAATAGTCAACCTGCAAGTAAAATCTGTAGTTTTTATCCATTTAAAGTTTTAAACCCCGAGGAAAGGGAACTTTAAGCTAGAAATTGACAAGCTGAATGAGGTTCCAGAACCCAGGACATGCCTCCACTTCCCATCTGGCCTCATGAAAAATGAGGACTCTGGTAAGATAAAAGAACCGTGGCCTAGAAAGACCCAGAGCAGAACACTCAGCCCATGTAATCAGGTGTCGCAACCACGAATGCTCAGGACTCAAATGAGAAATCAACCCATGTGTACGTGATCTCTGGACAAAGAGGCTTTCAACATTAAATTTATACACACAATATATGAAAGACGAGGAAGGGGGGAACAAGGATTTGGAGAAAGGGGAAACGTCTGGTGGTCTTCCATTTCACAAGTCTACATGGCTCATGTCAAATGACCTTTTATTTCATAAGGAAATTAACACACAAAGCAACAACAACACCATCAACGTAAATACAAAATTGAAAAGAAAAGAAAGTGAAAAAGAAAAACGAATGCAATGTAGAAAAGCATCTTGTTGTCTCATGGTATGATAAACACATCCAGGGTAAAGCTGTACTAATCCAACTTGTTCACTGTATCTCTGATTCAGGTGTTGATGAGTTCTAGGAAGATCTAAACATTTGCCAATAGCCTAGTTAAGGCTACGCGAAGAGGGCTTCACTTTCTTGATTACCCAAGGACAGCTTGTATCACTAACCCAAAATAAGAAAATAAAAGCGCTTTTTTACATTTAGCAATTAATACTTCCTCAAAATCAGAAAATCTGACCACTTTAGAGCCTTTTTTTCCTCATAAAAATCCAAGCCATGTGGAAATCCCAGCAGAAAGAATCTGAAGCCTAAGTGTACTTGCCTCAGTGATAAATCTGTGCTGTTACAGTAAGAATTCCAAAGACAGTCCAAACAGAAGGGTCTTGGGGACCCAGTAATCATCCCCTTGCTGTCCTTCTGTGTCCTCACCAAAAGTCACCACCCAGTCACTGCGTGACCACCCAGTGACAAGTTTTTTCCAGTGGGCTTGAACATCCTTAGGCATTGACAAAGGTATCCAGGTTGCTATCCTAAACCAGGTGTTTCCAGTTCACTGCCTGCAGGTCACCCGCAGGCCACCTGCAGGCCACCTGCAGCCCTGGATGGCTAGTAATGCGGCCCCATAAGATCATGGAATTGAAACCTGCATCAGACCTTACACATGCATGT